AGAGGTCAAGAGAGAAAGCAAACCTTCAGGTCTGGGACTTGAACCACAGTTGGCCATGTGGGAGTCCAGCACCCTTAACCACCATGCCACCTGCCAGCCCCTAAATAAATAATTCTTAATACAAATTTCAGACATTCTTTTCTACTGACTTCACGTCTCTTTTGGACAAAGACTTACATGTCTAACCAATAATTAACCTGATAATTTCCTTTTTTAACTTTTTAAAAGAAGTCTTTATTTAGGAACCAGTGGATGGCGTAATGATTATGTTGCTGGACTCCCATGTAGTCAACTGTGGTTCAAGTCCCAGACTGGGAGGCTTAAAAGTCATGCTGGGCCCGTGTGCATGCGTGTCCAAGATCCTGAGAGGAGAATGGAGAAGGGATTGCAGCGTGGTCATCCCCCCTGGGGAGGTGATTGCTTGCTTTCTGTCGCTTTGTCTCTCCAGTGAGTGTACTCACCCTATAGCAAAAATCTCTCTAAAAAAATAGAATTATTTATTCAGTTTTTTATTACTATTATTTTAATTTGACCAGAGAGAGAGAGAGAGGGAAAGTGAGAGCAATCTTCTAGGTGTGTGACTCGAACCATGGTCGTCGGCATGTGGGAGTCTAGTGGCTCAACTACCACGCCACCTGCTGGCCCATGAATTATTATTTCTACAGAGTTTTCTCACTTTCCTCTTTTCACTCTCTCTCTTGCTCTGTCCTTCTCTGGTCAAATGAAAATAAATAAATAATTAAGGTTAAATAAAATAATTCTTTAAAAAAAAAAATCTCAAGAGGAGAATAGAGAAGGAAATACAGCATGTCCATACCTTCCTGAGGAAGGATATCTCCCTTTCTCTCTCTCGCTTTCTGTCTCTGTCTCTCTCTTCCCGGTGAGCACACTGCCCTATAGCAAAAACCTCTCTTTTTTTTTTTTTTTGGAGAGATTTTCCCTGTAGGGCACGTGCGCTCGCCAGACAGACAGAGAGAGACATAGAGACAGAAAGCGAGAAATCACCCCCCAGGGGGGCAATCCCTTCTCCTCCATTCTCCTCTCGGGATCTTGGCACGCACGCACACGCGCCCGGTGTGAGTTTTAAGCCACTGGGTCCGGGACACGAACCGCGGTCGACTACGTGGGAGTCCAGCGACATAGCCATTACGCGAACTGCTGGTTCCCGCAAAAACCTCTCTTAAAAAAGAAAATAGCGTGGGCGCTTGCCAGGAAGACAGAGAGAGACAAAAAACAGAAGGCGAGAAATCACCCCCCAGCAGGGATGGCCACACCACAATCCCTTCGCCATTCTCCTATCAGGATCTTAGGCATGCATGCACATGTACCTGATATGAGTTTTAAGCCACCAGGTCCAGGACTCGAATAGTGGTCAACTACGTGGGAGTCCAGTGACAAAACTATTACACCATCTGCTGGTCCCTCCACTGGCATGATTTTCAAACCACTGGATCTGGGACTTGAATTGCCAAGTCAGCCATGTGGGATCCAGCACCATAACCTCAATGCCATGTGCTGACCCTAAACAAGATCTTTAAAACATGTTTATTAATTTATTTATTCCATGAGCAAAGTAGAGTAAGAGAGGGCAAGAACTCCCATCAGAGTCTTGACACCACAATCCAGCCTGAGCCTCAGCCATCTCAGAGCATAGGCACCCATATGCCTGGTGTACTCCAGCATCTCTGGACTTGAATCTGAAATCTCCTCATATGGATCAGCCTCTCAGAGGATTGTTTTCTTTTTTAAAATAATTTATTTATTGGGACCAGCAGTTGGCGTAATGGCTACGTCACTGGACTCCCATGTAGTGGACCGCGGTTCGAGTCCTGGACCCAGTGGCTTAAACGCATGCTGGGCGCGTGTGCGTGTGTGCCCAAGATCCCAGGAGGAGAATGGAGGAGAACGGATTGCGGCGTGCCCATCCCCCCTGGGGGGTGATTTCTCGCTTTCTGTCTCTGTCTGTCTGGCAAGTGCACGTGCCCTATAGCAAAAACCTCTCCAAAAAATAATAATAATAATTTATTTATTTGGACCAACAGCTGGCATAATGGCTATGTCGCTGGACTCCCATGTAGTCGACCATGGTTTGAGTCTTGGACCCAGTAGCTTAAACTCACACCGGGCACGTGTGCGCGTGTGCCCAAAATTCCAGGAGGAGAATGGAGGAGAAGGGATTGCAGTGTGGCCATCCTCCCTGGGGGGTGATTTCTCGCTTTCTGTCTCTCTCTGTCTCTGTCTCTTTCTGGCTATTGCACGCATCCTTTAGCAAAAAAAAAAGTCTCAATTAAAAAAAATTATTTATTTATTTTATTAATTTTTATAATTACTTTTAAGTTTGCTATAGGGCATGTATGCTTACCAGAGAGAGAGAGAGGGAGCGAAAGAGAGAAAGCAAGTTGCCAGGTCTGGGATTTGAACCACAGTTGGCAATGTGTCCAGCACCGTAACCACCATACCACCTGCTGGCTGCCTCAGAGGATTGTTTACTACTGCTGTTTTCTACCACCACCTGGCCCCACCAACAATGGATCTTCAGCATTTCTTCTGAACTTATATAGTCTACACGGAGCAAGAGGAATCTCCTTAGGTGTCTCCCAATTCCTGCTTGGCTACTGAGGAGGGCACTGCATACAGACGGAAGCCATCTTGAGCTATCCGCCATCTTGGAAACCATTAGATTTCACTTCCTCACTGAGTAAACTGTTTCTCAGATCATGTGACCAACTGTTCTTCCCTGCAGGGCAGTTGGGTTTCTAGGCAAAGGGAGAGATCCACCCACACCAATGATTGGCTCATGATGTTCTATCTCATTTGCATTTCCAGCAACCAATCAATGCCCACCAGCCTGTATATAACTCGACATTCTTCTTCAATAAATGGGAGACTTGATCAGCGCCTCCTAATGTCTCCACTCTGTGTGTCCTAGGATCTGTGATGGGAACTCTAACAGCTATACAATACTATGTATTATTAGTTAGTTATGATTTATATTTATTATTATTATTTCCTCACAACAAACTTGGGAAGAATCACGTCCAGTGAACAAATCTAGGAGATGTTCTATTGGGACTCCTTTGCCAGTGTGGTTGGAGTCCAAGGTTGCACGATGTTCCTCATAAACCCCCTCTATTCCTTAATTTTCTCAATGAAAAGAATGGCCTAAGAATCTGGCCTGAAATTAATTTTGCTAATGGAGTGAGGATAACATTACAATTTTAAAAAAATTATTTAACTTTTAGTAGTTATTATTATTTTTTTAATTTGACCAGAGAGAGAGAGAGAAAGGGGAAGGAGAAAACAGACTGTCAGGTCCAGGATTTAAACTGTGGTCTGCCATGTGGGAGTCCAGTGCCTTAACCACCATACCACTTGCCAGCCCTGAGGATAACATTTAACAACAGGATGCCATTTCAAATGTTCATTACTGTATTAGTTTCCTAAGGCTGTTATAACAAAATTTTATAAACTCGATAGTTTAAAAGAACACAAATGTATTCTCCTTCATTTCTGAAGGCCAGACCTCTAGAATTGGTTTTAGTGAGCTTGACTTAGGATGTCACAGGGCTTTCTCTTCTCTCTCTCTTTCTCTCTTCTCTTTCATTTCTCTGTTCTTTTCTTTTTCTTTCTTTCTTTTTTTCTTTCTATTTTTTTTTTAAAGATTTTTGCCACAGGGCAAGTGTGCTTACTATAGAGAGAAATAGACAGCCACAATTCCTTCTGCTTCAGAGACAGAGATAAAGGGAAAGTGAGAAAATCACCCCCCAGGGGGATGACCATGCCATAATCCCGTCTCCTTCATTTTCCGCTTAGGATTTTGGGCACACACACAAACCTGGCATGTTTTTCAAACTGCCATGTCTATGACTCTAACTGTGACATTGGCTATATGGGACCTAGCACCTTAACCACCATGCTACCTGCTGGACTCCCTCTGTCTCTGACCATCCCTTCTCTTTCCTCTATGCAAAAAGCCATTTTAACAACTTCTTCTCTTCCCTTCTTATTTCAGATTTTACCTCAAAGTCTTTTTCATTTCATTTCCTTTATAGGTAAAAAATTAAGACTACCTTCCCACTGGTTTACATCTTTACACTTGCTCTCTTTCTTTTTCTCTCTCACTCTCTTGTCTCTTTCCACTTTTACACTCTGACATTCTACATTCCACTCAACTCAGCATATAATCTGCCTCCCTTTAGGGTATAAATTTCTCTCAAAGACAATGAGGGACTATAAATAACAAACCATTTTCTCTGAGACAAATAGTTTATTTTTCTTTGTACATTTCTTCTAATTAAAAAAATATTGGAGAGATCAACAGTGGTGCGGTGATTAGAATGTTGGACTCCCACGTGGCTGATCATGGTTCAAGTCCCAGACCTGGCAGCTTGCCTTTTCACTTTCCTTCTCTCTCTTTCTTTGTCTCCCCCTTGTAAGCACTCTTATCTTATAGTAAAATTTTAAAATAATAATAATAAATAAAGTTAAATAAATAATTCTTTTAAAAAATTGGGAACACTAGAGTGCCTAAAACAAAGAAAAGGTGCAATGATTGGTGGCATTTATTATTATCATTATTTTATTCTTACTAATTTCTTGTACTAGGTAAAATAAAGTCTTTTTTCACTTGCCATTCCAGAACCATGTGCAAAATTCTCTATACACATCTATTTGATGATCCCCATCTACCCATTAATAGAAAGCACAATCCCAGGCACAGATACAGGGGTGGAGTATATCACACTGGCTCATAAACAAGAGATTATGATTACTTGTACCAAAGCAAGTAGAGGGGAAACAGATAACTATCTGATAATGTTCATGCTCACAACAGACTTGGAAACAATTCTTCTAATGAGCAAATCTGAAAGGCGTGTTATTGTATGAACATCTACTGAAGTGGGTATTTTCATTTACCTGAATGTAAACAATAATCCTATGGAGATGAATATTATTATCCCCAGCACTTCTATCCTATTTTCCCACCACCCAACTGGTTGTCAGGACCTTAATAGATAACATTTTCTACGGAGGCTTCTACTTATGGCATTCTTCAGCTCCTTATTTCTGAAACTGAAAATGATTGGACTAAGGAAGGGGGTGAACACTGTATAGGTGGTGGCCAATAAGGCATCACTGTTTACAGAATGGGGGCCTTTGGGCTTAAGGTAGATGATGGAGGCAAAACTATAGTGCACAACCACCACAGTGAGGTGGGATACACATGTGGAAAAGGTCTTGTGCCGGCCCTCAGCAGAGGGGATCTTCAAGATGGTGGCCACGATGAAAATATAGGAGAGGATGATGAGGAATAAACAGCCTATGAGTGCTGTGACACATACCAGGATCACACCCAAAGTGACAGAGAATATTTTATCTCCACAGGCCAACTTCAAAAGGGAAAGCACATGGCAGAAAAAATGGTGGATGACATTAGACCCACAGAAGGTGAGGTGGAATACTATCACTGTCACCATCATCCCCATGAATGAGCCACAAGCCCAAGTCCAGGCCACCAGACGGCCACAGCCACGGGGGCTCATGAGCACATTGTAGCGAAGAGGGTGGCAGATGGCCACATAGCGGTCATAGCCCATGATCATGAGCAAGAAGGAGTGGGTGAAGCCAAACGTGAAAGAGAAGAACATCTGGTTGGCACAGGCCACAAAAGTGATGGAATGATTAGTGGAAAGCAGGTCAACCAACATGTGAGGGGTGATGGCAACAGTGAACAGAATCTCAGAGATGGAGAGGGCACACAAAAATAGATACATGGGTGTGTGGAGTCTGTGTTCAGTCCAGACGGTAGCCATGATGAGGAGGTTCCCCAGCAGCGTGAACAGGTACATAAGCAGGTACAATAGGAAAAGAATTGGCAAGAGCCGTGGAGGTAAGGCTGAAAAGCCAAAGAGGATAAATTCAGACATGGTGCTATAGTTGTGAACAGGCATGGTGGTGTATCTGTTGTAATCAGAAACAAAATAAAGACACAGTGGTTAAAACATAGACCCCCGATACAGATCAAATGGCAATTTAAGAACTCTGTGCTAGGATCAGCAAATGGCATGGAGTTTAAAGCAGCTGGATCCCACATGACTGACTACACAGTTCAAGTCCTGGACCCAACAGCTTGAAAAAATCATGCTGGATGTGTATGCATACGTGCCCAAAATCCTGAGAGGAAAATAGAGGAGGAGGAATTGCCACATGGCCATCCCCACAAGGGGGAAGATTTTTCACTTTCCCTCTCTCCATCTCTCTGTGACAAGCACAAATGCCCAATAGCAAAACAAAACAAAACAAAACAAAAACCTAAAAAAAGAACTGTAAGCTACTCAATGATTTTACACACATTTCTGGGACTTACTTTCCTCATCTGTAAAATAAAACAAATAATAATACTTTTACCATTCAGCAATGTAATAAAGATAAAATGAGACCACTGTATTAAGTGCTTCAGACAGATTTGAATAGTAATTGGATTTCTATTAACACTAAATAAAATGAAGAAAAAAAGGCCTACATTTGAAATTACTGGAGGTAGTCATGAGTGATCAGATTCTCATGAGAGACCCAGTTTTTAGAGTGTCCCAGTTCTAGAAAATGTATCTGGATCTTGAAGTTTAATATTTTTTTCCTGTGAGTCTCAGTCTTTTCATTGGTTATTTAATTCATTTATATTTATTTTAATACCATTTTATTGGCATCACTTCTTTGACATTTTTCATTTAATCATGTAAAGAAACTGAACAGAAAGTCTAAAAATAAAAGGATGGATATAGGCACCATCAGGTGGCATGGTGGTTAAGGCACTGGACTCCCACATGGCCAGCTATGGTTCAAGTCCTGGACTTGGTGACTTGCTTTCTCACTTTGTCTCTCTTTCTGTTTCTCTTGGGTAAAAGCATGTGCCTTATAGCAAATTAAAATAATAATAATAATAATAAACATTTTTTAAAAGATAGATACATACATGCCAGGCAAATATGTACCAAATGTAAGCCAAGGTAACAATCTTAATACAAAAAATGAAATTTAAGGAAATAATGATCTTCATATCTCTAATACCATATGCCAGGAAAAGGAATGAGAGTTCCCTGAAAAAACTACTGATTTATGGTCTGGATATCCTGTACTAGAATTAAATGAAAATGTTGTAGACCAATGAAATAATGTTGGAAGAATGCAGAGACCAGATTGTAAAGATGTCTACCAACTAAAACTATGACAACTGGAATAACCAAAATTCATTATGCAGAAGGAAGCAATCAGACAAAATCAAAAGGTGAAATATTTTATAGAAGAATTGATCTGGTCTCATCAATAAACCAAGATTATTAAAATGATGAAAACAGGGGCCAACAGGTGGTTAAGGGTGCTAGACTCCCACATGGCTGACAACAGTTCAAGTCCTGGACTTGGTGGTTTGCTTTCTTACTTTTCTTCTCATTCTTACTCTCTCTCGCTCTGTCCCTCTCTGATCAAATTAACATAAATAAATAAAGTTAATTAAAATAAATATATTTTTTAAAAGGATGAAAAGATGGGCCAGCAGATGGTGTGTTGATTAAGGCAGCTGGATCCCACATGGCTGTGGAATTTGAGTCCCAGATCTGGCAGCCTGAAAAACATACTGGATACATGTGTGTCCATGCCCAAAATCTCAAGAGCAGAATGGAGAAAGGATTGTGGCATGGCCATCCCCCCTGAGGGTGCTTTCTCACTTTCCCCTTCTCTCTGTATCACTCAACAAGCACACACGCCCTATGGCAAAAATAAACAAAACTTAAAACATATGAATTAATTCATTAAAAGTATGAAAAGAGATTCGAGGACATAGCAACCAGGTATAATATAGGGTAATAGACTGGACCTTGACTTAGATAAACCACCTGTAATGTATTTTTTTTTGGAGAGGTTTTTCTTTTTTTGCTATAGGGCGCCTGCGCTCACCAGACAGACAGAGACAGAGAGACAGAAAGCGAGAAATCACCCCCCAGGGGGTGATTGGATCTTGGGCACGCACGCACACGTGCCCAGCGTGAGTTTTAAGCCACCGGATGCGGGACGCCAACCGCAGTCGACTACATAGGAGTCCAGTGACATAGCCATTACATTAACTGCCGGTCCCTCAAGTGACATAGCCATTACACTAACTGCCGGTCCCTCCCAGCTATGTTTTTTTTAAGGCAATAGGGGGACCAGCAGTTGGCGTAATGGCTATGTGTGTATATGTATATATATATACACACACATTATTATTATGTGTGTATACACACACACACACATATATATAAAATAATAATGATGAATAAATTAAATAAAATAATTCTTAATAAATAAATGCAATTTAAAAAATAAAAATTAAGACCAGCAGGTGGAGTGGTGGTTAGGGCATCGGACTCCCATGTGGCTGACTGCGGTTTGAGTCCTGGACCTGGAAGGACTTTCTCGCTCTCTCTCTTTCTGGTTAAATTAAAATAATAAGAACAACAAATAAAATTATATCTAAATGAATACATCTTTAAAAAATAAAATGCTTAGTGGGGCAAGCAGATAGTGTGGTGGTTAAGGTGCTAAAATCCTACATGGCCAGCCACAGTTCAAGTCTCGGACCTGGTGGCTTGGTTTTTCAACTCTTCCTTTCTCTCTGTCACTCTCTCGTCAAAATTGAAAAATAATAATAAATAAAATTGAAAAATAAATAAATATTTAAAAAATTAAAAACTAAATAAAATGCATAGTAAAATTTAAAAATCTCGTACATGTATGCATACATTACTAAGGGACAAATAATAATATTTACACCGCTTAGAAGAACATGGTAGCAAGGCAAGCAGGTGATGGAAGTTAGGCAACTAGATCCCACATGGCCGACTACAACATTTGAGTCCCAGACACAGCAGAGTGAAAAACACATCAGTGCAGGGACCAGCAGTTGGCATCATGGCTGTGTTGCTGGACTCCCATGTAGTTCGAGTCCCAGACCTGGTAGCTTAAACTCACGCGGGGCGCATGTGTGTGCGTGCCCAAGATCCCGAGAGGAGAATGGAGGAGAAGGGATTGTGGTGTGGCCATCTCCCCTTGGGGGGTGATTTCTCGCTTTCTGTCTCTCTGTCTCTCTTTGTCTGTCTGGCGAGTGCATGCGCCCTATAGCAAAAACCTCTCCAAAAAAAGAAAAAAAAACAAAAAAAAAGCAAAACCAGTGCATATGTCAAAATGCCATGGCCTCCAAGAGAATGGAGGAACTGTGATTGCAGAGTGTCTATCCTTCCTGGGGGTGATTTCTCACTTCCCCACCCTTTCTCTGTCTCTCTCCTGTAAACGCATATGCACCCTATAACAAAAACTAAAAAACAAACAAAAACTATCATCAATAATAGATGCACAGATGCAGAGGAGTAATTATGAAGTTAGAAATTGTAACACAGAGTTCACAAATGTAATATATGAATAATTCATTGCAATGCAATGATTACTATTTAGGCATTCGCTATTAGATCTATTTACATTCTTCACCAAAGAGAGAATAAACTTTTTTGAGTCACATTACTGACCAAGGATACTGAAGCCCTTGGTTCTTCAGTACGAGTCCACCCATAATTATCCCTCCTCATACGGAATCTCCCCAGGGCATTGTCCCCAAATGTCCCCACTGATAGAGGTCATCCTGGAGCTTGGAGGACAATCACCTGGACATTATAGAAGCCCAGTCTCCCTATCCAGAAGCCAAGACACCATCATCAACTCCCTCCTGTCCCCCATCCCTCCCTCACTCAGAGTCCTCTCTGTTCTAAACAACTTTCCATTTTTGTTTTTTTTGTTTTTTGTTTTGCTATAGGGCACGTGCGCTCGCCAGACAGACAGACAGAGACAGAGAGACAGAAAGTGAGAAAATCATCCCCTGGGGGGGATGGCCATGCCGCAATCCCTTCTCCTCCATTCTCCTCTCGGGATCTTGGGCACGCACACACATGCGCCCAGCGTGAGTTTAAGCTACCAGGTCTGGGACTCGAACTATGGTCGACTATGTGTGAGTCCAGCGACACAGCCATTACGCTAACTGCTGGTCCCAGTTTTCCATTTTTTTATCCCCTTTCCATCCCGCTCACTCCATTCCCTTTCTCCTGGACCATTGCCCCACACTCTTTTGGATCTCCCCTCCTCTGCTCCCCCTTCACTCCTGACTTCCAGAGAAAATTCTCAGAAACATATACAAGTTATAGAATTGACAAACTGAGGGTTCAAATCCCAGCTCTATGTGTCCTTGGAAAAAGAGCTTTCCAGCTCTGAGCCATCTCTCTCCAATTGAAAAATGAGGCATGGTGTTTGAGGCACTGGACTCCCACATGGCCTACCATGATGGTTCAGGTCCTGGACCTGGAGACTTGCTCCCTCATTATCCCCCCTTCTCATAAATGCATGTACCCTATAGCAAGTTAAAAATAACAGTAATATGGTACCAGCCGTTAGCGTAATGGCTATGTCGCTGGACTCCCATGTAGTCCACTGTGGTTCGAGTCCTGGACCCAGTGGCTTAAACTCACACCGGGCGCATGTGCGTGTGTGTGTGCCCAAGATCCCGAGAGGAGAATGGAGGAGAAGGGATTGTGGCGTGACCATCCCCCATGGGGGGTGATTTCCCGCTTTCTGTCTCTCTGTCTCTCTCTGTCTGGAGAGCGCACGCACCCTATAGCAAAAACCTCTCCAAGAAAATGAATAAATAAAAATAGCCATAATAAATAAAATTAAATAATTATTTTAAAAAGTAATTAATAAAATTAAATAAATGGTTCTCAAAAAAAAAAAAAAGGAAAATGAGGTTAACCAGAGAACTGCTTTTAGTGAGTGCGTGAAGATTCATATTAAAGGCTCAGAGTTTACTTAACAAATGTGTAATAATTGTCAATGGGACCTTCCATACAGCCTCCATAGGTCTTTGTTTTTGTTT